ATTCGTATAGGTAGCTGGTTTTAGAAAGCGAAGGAAATCAAACAGCCGTCCTAAACAGTTTATTGCCTAACAATAACTTCATCGCCATCGTCTATCAAATACTGCAAGAAACTGCGTATAGCGGTCAATAGATGCTATAATAAATCTCATAGCCGGCTATAGGTCTATGGTATTTGGGACATAGATTCTAAAGCCAATTTATACTAGGGTAAAGATATCCTCTTTTCCCTATCGAATGAAGATTTTCTAGAAAATTGCAGCATGATAGGAGAAAATGGATACCATCTCCGGCTTTGACAGTCAAATGTACAGGATGTCCTAAACCTCACGTGTCAGAATTTTTTCTGCTTGGGTTATTTTAGGCCGGACACAGTCCAGGACCACGAGGACAAATAGAGACGAGCTGACCCGAGAAGTACAGCTTTCGTCATCTCAAAGCCCCCTCGGTCACCCTTGGGAGTTCAGCGGACGAAAGGGTATTCCAACTTTGGAGACCAGGATTCTTACCACAATTTTAAAAATAAGCTGAGGTTTAAGATAAATCAATACAAAAAAGTCCACCATCAGCCAATCCCTGTGCGCAGTATTGGTATAACACTTCGAGGGGAAATTTTTTCCAAAAGTGTATCCTCCTCCCCCTAAAACGCATTTGTTGGACTTTTCGACTCCTGCAATATTCTTAATGTTAGAGAACAATTAGGTAAACCAAAACTGGTTTAAGCAGCCAATGAAGTACAAAATAGGTGTCCACCCTATCATATGCACCGAAAAATGTTTACCCTCTTTTTGAGCACAAAACGGAAAAATAACATTTGCGTTGTGCAAAAGAGAAGATTTGTCGTACCCATGGACTATAACATATACCCATAAACATCGAAGATTTTGTTCCGTGTGATGATATTGCAAAAATTTCATTCAAAATACACAGTGTATGAAATTGTCAAGAGACGTGTAGCATTCCTGCAATCAGTGAACTGACAATTCCATGCTGAGTCCCAGGATTTTCCCCAAATCCTTTATTTTTTTGCCGTGTCCATGACTGCAAAATTTTCTGAGTATGAGTAAGTCGTACATTTTCTCCAAAAGGAAGTGCGGGTTGCAAAATCTCATAAGCATTGCATATTACGTGGTATACGTATCCACTTCACTTATTTTCTTGACATTCTGGACTACATCCGGAATCAGCGGAGTACAAAACATACACGAAAATTCATCATTGTATGAAAGGTAACTTCTCTACCGTTCTCACTATCTGAGCGGCAGCCATGTTGGCCACCACTTTGGTTCTTAGAGAACTTTTATGGGCCTGTTTGGGTATTTGGACCTCATTTGTGGAATTTACGACCCGAAAAACCCATGCAGGGACACCTCACTCGACGATACGCGCCTCACCAAAATATTTCACCCCGCAACGGCAGCCGTTTGGCCGCCATATTGACATTTTTGGGCTTCATTAAACCTGTAGTAAAATTCTGACCTCATCAGTGAAATTTACGACCCAAAAAACCCTAGGAAAGATACCCTACTCGGCACTTTTACGCAACTCTCGGAGATTTGACCCTATCGTGGAAAATTTGGCGGCCATATTGGATTTTGGGCATCCCTTTGAGCCGGAGACAATTTTGGACCTCAAATTCGGATTCTACGACCAAAATTACATAGCGATAGACCCCATACACGACATCAAAAACAAATTCCAACATTTTCAACCCCCGAGCCCCCATTTTGGCCGCCATGTTGAATTGGAGGGGTTGAACGCAAAATTGAGCTTGACAACATCAAAATTATTTTTCTACACATCGAGAAGAAGAGGTCAGGCCATTTTCCATACTTACTACATTTACTTTTCCACGGGAGGCTTCTTTTCAACATAGGCCCGTGGACTAATTTATACAGGCCCGCGCTGTGCCGCCGCCGCGTGGATCGCAGTGGCGCGGAAACTTTAAATCATAGACCCATCATGTAATATATCGTTGGAAAGCTTAAAAGACGCTCTTTTACATGGTGAGTATTTAAAGTGACCTTAAAAATACGATTTTGAAAGTTATGCAAATTAGAAGATTTTTTTCCACACGCGAAACCCGGTTTTTATGAGAAAAACACCCTGTATATTGTCAAAATCAAAAATTTTGTGATTTTGTTTTATTAACTTTTCAATTATCTATCAAACAAAAAAAAAGAAAAATTAAATCGGTTCAGTGGATCTCGATCTAGAGCGGCTCAAAGTACGCGCCGGCCGCCATTTTGAATGGCCGCCATCTTGGCTCTGCCACCATTTTGGAAATGCCTCTTCGACTCAAAACGCTTAAAATATCATCTAGTTTGACCTCCCAAAGTGGCAAAACTGAATCACGATTTGCAGCGTACTTGCCATAAGCCACCGTACTATCACTCAGAAAATTGCGTCCAACTTCTGACTGTTACTCCTTTCTGTTGAGGACTATCAGTTATAATAAATAAGTAATGAAAATATTAAAATTCATTTTAAAATGTTTTTCAGGAGGCAGCCTTTACTTAGCACACGTGCAAAAACACCACTGCACAATTTTTCAACTTCCAAAAGCCTTCAGTTGGTCCCTCTCAGAACTCATGGAAATAAACTGAAATTCCTGTTCAAGTCCGATGTAAATGCACATATTTTCACAAAATAACGTACCATCCGACTAAAGAGTTGACTTCTCACTTTAGAAAAGAAGGTCAGCGGGCCGATTATTAAAATTGATAGACAAAGCTATAGACAAAGGAGACAAAAGAGATATGGAGAGATCCTATTGGTGGAAGCGGGTGGTTGCAGTGGACAAAGGGGGTAAGTAATAGACTAACTAACGGCAACGACGAGAGATTTATCATTTTCTCCCTTTGTCTGTAGGAACCACCCATTTTCACCAATAGGATCGCTCCTTACTCTCTATGTCTCCTTCGTCTATTGCTTTTTCCATTAATTTCAACAATCAGTCCGCTGAAGAGCTTTGTTCCCATTTTGCCGAATGCAGTCCAAATCATTTTATCGGAGCAATTTGTTTACTCAGTCATTCCGGCAAGGGAAATTGGGACAAGAAACAAACAGTAATGATGACAGTAAGTAGCCATGGGCGGGGCTGCAGAAGGCAACAAATGGACAAAATACCGGAAGGATTATAGGGGGGGGGGG